TGATTGCGTGGACGTGGCCTTCCTGCTCTCGGGGGCAAGAACTCCTCTTCTGCCCTGAGACAGTTTAATCTGCTGCCCCATGGGCTTGCCCAGCCCCCAGGCAGGCTGCAGACGAGATGCTCCAGGCCGGTGGCTGAATCCACACGAGCTCTGGGGTCAGAGGGCAGCTGTGGCCAAAGCTAGCATTGAAGTCATCCTGAGACACTCCGAGGCCAGGGAGGGGCCTTCCCCAGCCCTGATCCCCACCCTGTCCCAAGCCCCGTCTGGATCTGGGCTGCAGCCACCACCTGCTCAGGGCGGCGGCCCCCAGGGTGACGGCCTGGCTGTGGCCCCGCGGCAGGGCACATGCACAGGTGGTTGGTTATGCACACGCAGCTATTATTAACCCGGCAGTGACGTCACCGGCAGCCAATGGGAGGCAGGTTTATTTCCAGGGCTGACAGCTTGATAACGGTTAATTTTAGCTGGATCTTCTTTCCTGAGGCTGGTGAAACCCTAGCCAGCCAAAGAAGGGGCTGCCTGTGTCTCCCCAAACAGCTCGTGAATGGGCCCTGGGGGCTCTCGGAGGGGCGTGGAGGGGTGGGGTCTGTGCTCCCCGCTTGGTCCTGCTCCCTGGAGCAGCCCTGACTGCTGGTGCCGTCCCCTGGCTGGCCACCCTCCACTGGCTGTTACCGGCCAGTGACTCAGATGCAGCAGGAGGGCTGCTGAGGGGGCCTAGGCCTGACCTGGGGGGCAGAGAAAGCACAGGCCGTGGCCAAGGTGGGACCTGGGCTTCTGTCCAGAAGTCACCCTGGCTTGGCTAAGGCCTTCTGAACCTACTTGCTGTGTGACCTTGGGCAGGATGCTTGGCCTCTCTGTGTCCGGGTGCCTCATCAGTTCCCGAGGTCCTCTGGCCTGCCTCGTGAGGCCGACCTCATAGCTCCTGCCCCGCACACTGAACCTGCATAGCCTGGTGACTGGCTGTTAGTGTGTGCTGTCGTTATTTAGCATTGCCCGGTACTTAGTAGTCATTTGGTACTATTCACTAGTTAGCAGTTGCCTTAGTCCTTTTGTGCTGCTCTAGCACAGTACTTAAGACTGGGCAATTTATAAAGAACAGAAATTTATTTCTCACAGTTCTGAAGACCAGGAAGTACAAGATCGGGTGCTGGCACCTGGCGAGGGCCTTCTTGCTGCATCCTCGCACGGCAGGATGAGAGAGAACCCACTCCCACAGCCCTTTTTACAGGGCATTAACCCATGCACGGCCGGGCACGATGGTGCACACCTGTAGTCCCAGCACTTTGGGAGGCTGAGGAGGGAGGATTACTTGAGCCCAGGAGTTTGAGGTTGCTGTGAGCGAGGCTGACACCACGGCACTCTAGCCCAGGGCAACAGAGTGAGACTCTGTCTCAAAAAAAAAAAAAAAAAGTCCATGGCGTATAGGGCTCCGCAGTCATGACCCAAACTCCTCCCCAAAGGTCCAGCTCCCAACACTGTTGCACTGGGGATTAAGTTTCCAGCACATGAATTTTGGGGGCCACGTTCAGACCACAGCAGTAGTTATTCATCTGTGCAGCACTATTCAGTATTAGTAGCTCCTTGGCACTGTTAGTGTGTTGTTATTTAGCAATATTACCCAACTTAGACTCATTACCTGTGTGTCCAGGCCTGGGGTTGCCGGGCCCAGGGCCCTGCCGGGCAGCACAGCTGCCAGCAGACCGAGGGCGTCCTGGCAACAGGAGACCCTTTGCAGGAACCACCTGACACCTTTCCCCAGGGTCAGTGCACAGGTGCTTCAGGGAGGACGCGATTTCCCCGTCGGCAGCCACTCCCCTGGCGGCACATGCCCCCAGCCACAGGAAGCCTCTGCCGGGGGCTTCACCAGCTGACTGCTGGGGGCGAGCCGGGAGCAGCAGCTCAGACTGTCACGGGGAGGGGGTGTCTGATGAAGACCCTCCCAAGCAGCAGGCAGCCCAGGTCCTGGGTACTGGTGGTCCCTTGGAGTAGTGGGGGTGGGCTTCCCAGGGACCCCAGCCTCCTATCCCCTTTGTCTGACCCACTCCGGCCTAGCCAGGCCATAGCGGCAGCAAGCCAGCCTCCTGCAGGCGAGGCTTGACCTCCAGGCTCCGAGGGAGGCATTAAATGCAGAGACCAGCTGGGGGTGCTTTCTCACCAGGCGGTTATTTTTAATTCCTGGCTCCTGTTTGATGGTATCAGCAGCACTCGGAAGTGCTGGTCACCTGGGAGGGCCCCCTCATGCTCCCTCCCACTGTGGCCCTGACCTGGAGTGAGGAGCCCCTCCCCAAGAGGCCCTCTCCACGGCTGGGGAGAACGGCTTGGCCCGCAACCCCTGCCCTGGGCCCCCATCTTCCTCCCTCCTCACACCTGCCGGCTGGGCATCACCCCCGGGGAAGGGCCAGGCTGGGGCCTCCAGACCCAGTGGACGCTCACAGGACAGGCAGGGCCCCGGCCACTCGCTGGGCACACACCTCTGAGATGGACCTTGCGCCTAGAAGACCCTGTCAGACGGGGAGCATGGGAACACCTGGGTGAGAGGACAGGATCGGGGTCTTGGAAGGAAGTCCTGACCTCGGCCCTCACTCGCAAAAGCCGGCCACACCCCTCCATGCACCCGTTTTGTTCACTGCCTGCATCTGCCTGGGACCCTCAGGGACCCCCACTTCCTACAGACTGGGGCCTGCCTCTGGCTTGGCATGGGGACCTCCGAGGGCCGGGGCGAGGGGGCTCCGCTGAGGGAGGCTCCCGGGTCGGGCCTGGGTCTGCCTGGACCTGACTCATCTCTGGCTGGTGCTGCTTTCCTGGGATCTGCGCCCGCGAGTGCACAGCAGGGGCGCCCCTTGCAGGTACCCCTGGGCTCTGGGCTTGGCTTCAGGCACCCCCTGCACAGGGGACCCCTGGGAAAGGTTCTTTCCGGGCCCACAGAGGGAGGGAGGTTCTGGGCTGGATCGGCTGACTGGGCCTGTGGGGTGGCGGGGCGGACGGGCACGTGGTGCAGGGAGAGCCCTCAGCGCCCAGCTTCCTTTGTTCACAGCATCAGCCAGGGCAGGCCTCAAGAGGCATTGGCACCGCGGACCAGGGCACGGCCCAGGCCCTGGACCCCAGGCTGCCCCTGTCCGCGTCACCACCTGCTCCTGGGGCCACGATCCCTCCTCCCCTGGCCCCACTTGCCAGCTTCCTGTCCTGGGTTTTCACCCCAGCTCTAGGGACCTCTTTTTATGTGGACAGGGTCTCTCCAGCCAGTGTGTCGCAGCCTCTGTTACCCTGTCTCCCGTCCCCTGTTGCGTCTCTGCCGTGCTCTCCCCGTCTCTGTCCCTCCCTGCCTTTCCACTCCCTCTCCCTGCCCCCAGCTCTCCGCCCCGCCGCCGCCGCCTGTTTTCCTCTCCCTGCCTGCGCCCCCCGCGCGCGTCCTTGCGGTTCGCTCCCCCGCTGCCTCCCGCGCCGCCGTCGCGCCTGCCCGCGCGCGTCCGTGGGTCCGCGGGCCCTGCACGCCTCGCGTGCCTCGCGTCCCCGCCCCCGGCCCCGCCCGCTCCCCCGCGGTACCGCATTGCCGTAGTGCAGGGGCGCGGTGCACTGCGCCCGCACCGTCAATAGGCGGACCCCCTCCTGGAGAGATAAAACCGCCGGCGCCGGCGCCGCCAGTCCCTCTGGCTGAGACCTCGGCTCCGGGTAAGGACGCTCGGCCTCGGGGTCCCCGTCCCCGCGCCAGCTTTCCACAGAGGGACCCCACCCGGGCTCCGGTCCTGGGGGCAGAGCCTGCCGGCCGAGCGCCTGGCGAGGCTGCGCTGCGAGGCTGGAGCGTCGGCCGCCCCCCGCGCGCGCCCGGACCCGCGCCGGGCCGGTCCCCGCGGGCAGCCGGGCTGGGGAGGGGGCGCCGTGGCGCTTGTTTACGCGGCGGCAGCGGCGGCGGCGGCGGCGGGGACCGGATCCCGGCCGGTGGCGGTCACCCTGCAGCCGTGACCTTGGGGCCGCCGCGGCCTGTGGGGTGGGGGCGCGGTAGTTAGCGATGGGGGCTGAAGGGGGTCGGGCCTCGGGGGTGCCGGGGCGACGGGCCGGAGGAGGGCGAGGGAGGTGGTGCGGTCTGGGGGGCCCTCGCCACCCTAGGGTGCGCGTTCTGCCCTTCCCTCCCCGGCCCCCCGTCGCCGCCTCCTGCGCTGCCTGGGTTTCTCCACCGACCTCCAGGACCAGACAGGGGCTGTGACCCGGGGCCTTGACCAGGGCGAAGGGGGAGGGGTCCCCCGCGCCCCCCGCCGGGCTGAGGGCATCTCTGCCGGCACTTGGGGAGCTTGGCTGGGGCCAGATCCTCCCCCTCCAGCCAGAACACGGCCCCTGCTGTCCGCCCCTGCCCCCGTGGGGGGGGCTCGAGCTATTCTGGGTCCCTAAGCTGGGTCCCACGTCGCCTGTCGAGCGCTGGTGCCAGCCTGCCGGGCAGGGGTGAGGGGAAGATGGCGCCGTCCCTGCCGGGAGGGGAGTGGGAGCACGGGCCTCTCCACGGTGGCGGTGGTGGCAGGTGGGGGTGGGGCGCAGTGTCCCTGGCCCGGGCTGGGGGGGCGGGGGAGCAGCACTGAGGACAGGCCTGGAGAGCTGGGCAGCGTGACTCATCACCCAGGCGCAGGCTGGCCCTGGGCTCGGCCGCGGTGCCTCTCCAGATGGAGGTGAGTCCCTCCGAGGAGCGGCTCCGTGGGCACCAACGCCCAGACGTTTGCAGCAGATTGGGCCGTTGGCTAAAGTGTGGGTGCGGGGAGTGCTCGCCTGAGCTTGCCACCTGGTTGCGCGGCGCCAGGTCCCGGCCTGGGGGGCTCTTCCCTCCCCACCAAATGTGGGGTGAGGTCCGTGGGCAGGACGTGCTCCCACCTGTGCCAGGGCTCTCTGCTTGGCTCCCCGGGGCTCCCTGTCACCTCTCTCCCTCCGCCCTGGTCCCACAGAAGCACCACTCAGCACCCCCGCCCTGAGCCAGAGCACCCCAGGTCCTGCCAGCCCCTCCCCACACGCCCGGCAGCATGGGCAAGGAGAAGACCCACATCAACATCGTGGTCATCGGCCACGTGGACTCCGGCAAGTCCACCACGACAGGCCACCTCATCTACAAATGCGGGGGCATCGACAAGAGGACCATTGAGAAGTTCGAGAAGGAGGCAGCCGAGGTGAGCCCTGGGGGCTCCGACTCTGCCCTCCCCCGGAGGGACTGGCTCCACTGGCGGCTGGGACCCCGGGTGTGCCTCAGTTTATCTCCCCCAGGGGAGTCTGCTGTGGGGGCGCCTGTCTCAGGGCTCAGAGGAGGATGGGCAGGGCAGCTTCTCTCTGAGGGGTGCTCGGTGGGGCAGCTGCCAGATTTGCCCCGAGGTGGGGAGGTGGCAGGGCTCTGGCGCTAGAGGCCCTTGACTGCTCCTTTGCCCCCAGGCCAGGGCCAGGGCTGCAGGTGGTGCGGCCCTCACTTGTCCCGGGGCCAGCGGGCACTCAGGGCTGCTATTAATAGCTGACTGGTGGGCAGCCTGCCCATCTGCTCTGCTTGCTCCTGAGGGCTGGGAGGGCTTGTCCAGGGGCTGCTGCCCTGAACTGGGGGTCCCGGCTGCCTGCTGAGCAGGAGAGGGGCCCCCTTGCTGGCCTCTGTCTGTGCAGCTGCACCTCCTCCATGGCTGAGACCCATGGGTCAGAAGGGGCCACAAATGGGGGTCTGCTCTCTGACCTCCCACCTCGGCCTCGAGCTGTAGAAGAAGCCCCCTTCTGGGAGAGCCCCAGCCCCTGGATGTTGAGGGCAGAGGCCAGGGCCCGGGAGGGGCAGTCGCTGGCCTGGGCTGAACCCCTGCCCCGGTGAGGCTGGGGGTGCCCTTAGCCACACCCCTCCCACAGGTCCCTCTCTCCCCAGCCGTGGGAGGAGGCTGAGGGGCTCAGAGGGCCACTGGTTCAGGTCCCAGCTGGGTCCTGTCTGGTTTGGCCCTGGAGGGCCCCCAGGCTGGGCAGCCTCTCTGGAGGGCAGAGGCCGGTCCATGGGAGGCCCTGCCAGGGAGCTCTGCCCGCTGGGCAGTGAGCACAGCTGATGCCCTCACTGCAGCCCGGCCCAGACCCTGGGGGTCTCACTCACTGCTCCCCAGTACCCTGGAGCTTACAGAGCAGCCTCGTTCCTGGGGGGAGACCCCCAGCAGGAAGAGAGGAGGAGCCTTCCAGAAACCAGGCCCTCCTCATGACCTTATTTGATTTTTCTTTTTTCCTTTCCCCTTAAAAAAAAAATGACGCAGAGGGGTTATTTATTTGACAGCCCAAAACCCAGCAGTAGCATGTGCCTCCAGCTGTGGAAGGGACCTGGGTGTCCCCAGCTTCAGACAAGGGGTGGCCCCTAGCAGGGGAGGGGGCTGCACCCTCCTGGCAGCTTCTCTTCCGCAGGGCCCGGGGCCCTGGCTCCTCCTGCTGGTAGATGTGTGCGTCTACACCCGCCTGGGGGTGGCCTGGGGAGGCGCGTGGCTGGCCCTGGGCAGGGCAGGGCAGGGTCTGGGTGTTGGCACCGCAGTCCTAGGACCCCAGCGGGAAGCAAGCGGGGGATGGAGCCCGTCTCCGACCTCTCACCAGCCCCCACGGCCCAGGGCCAGCCCTGGCAGGCGGCTGTGACCGCCAAGTCTCAGACCCTGCTCTGAGCCGTGACCTCCACACCCGCCAGATGGGGAAGGGCTCCTTCAAATACGCCTGGGTGCTGGACAAGCTGAAGGCGGAGCGCGAGCGCGGCATCACCATCGACATCTCTCTCTGGAAGTTCGAGACCACCAAGTACTACATCACCATCATCGACGCCCCTGGCCACCGCGACTTCATCAAGAACATGATCACCGGCACATCCCAGGTGGGCAGGCCCGGGGGCAGGGCCAGGGTGGGGGCCCCTCGCCTTTGCCGCCCCTCACCCCAGCTGGCACAGAGCCCCCCAAGAACAGACTCAGGGCCCCAGACAGGGCAGTGTGGACACGCTGACCCACCCTCACAGACAGAGGGACCTGGGGCCGGGTGGGGGCAGTGGGATGTGGGCAGAGCAGACAGGCGGGCCATCTCAGGACACCCACGCAGACACAGATGGGGGGACACAGCGGTTTCCCCTGTTCCTTGAGTCTCTTCTCTCCGAGCTGCTTTTACAACTGTGCCCACACTCTGTCCTCCAGCGAGGGACAGGACCAGAGAGGCTGAGTGACTTGTGCAGGGACACACAGCCTGCTGGGGGTCTCTCTGGCCCAGGGCTTGGCGGATGAGCCCCCCACTGCCCTTGAGGTAGAGACCCCCTCAGTCTCCATCCCCAGGGCAACTGCTCAGGCCCCGTCTGCCTGGAGCGGCCTGGGCGCCAGGGGCCGAGGCTCACTGTGGCCCCTGCCGGGCAGGCGGACTGTGCGGTGCTGATCGTGGCGGCAGGCGTGGGCGAGTTCGAGGCGGGCATCTCCAAGAACGGGCAGACGCGGGAGCACGCGCTGCTGGCCTACACGCTGGGCGTGAAGCAGCTCATCGTGGGCGTGAACAAGATGGACTCCACGGAGCCGGCGTATAGCGAGAAGCGCTACGACGAGATCGTCAAGGAAGTCAGCGCCTACATCAAGAAGATTGGCTACAACCCGGCCACCGTGCCCTTCGTGCCTATCTCCGGCTGGCACGGTGACAACATGCTGGAGCCCTCCCCCAACGTGAGTGTGCCGGGGTGGGCGGGGGCCGAGACCCCTGAGGGCCTAGGCCCGCGTCTGGCCAGGGACGCCCTTCCATGCGGACACTGCAGGGGCAGTGGTTGGTCCTCACCTCCTCCTGGGGGCTGCTGTCCCGGCCCTGGACCCCACGTGGGGCAGCAGGGCAGGGGCCTCCCGGGGTCCCGCGAAGTGTGCGTTTCTGCACTGGCAGAGGGCTCAGGGCCGGCTCTCGGCTGGTTGCTGAAGCTGGAGGCACGGGCGGCCTGGGGCCAGGGACTGACTGGGCTGGAGGTGACCATGGGGACGCGTGGAGGGACCTGAGGCCGTGTTCCCAGGGCTGTCAAGCCAGACGAGATCCCTGGCCCAGAAGGGTGGCCAGTTGGCTCTGGCCGGTGCTGCAGCTGCCCACACTGAGGGACGGCCGGGACAGACCAGCAGCATGGAGCCCTGTGGTTGGGGACCGAGCTGTAGGGACTGCTCCCGGCCTCCCCCTTGGCTGGCTGAGGGTTGTTTACCGAGGATCACACCTTCCCTCAGGGACCCGATGCAGCAGATCCCTCTCCCGGGAGCCTCCAGCCACCAGGGACCCCCAGCCCTGCCCTTCCCATTGGCCTGGCCTGCTGAGTGCGCCCCACCCGCCCATGCTCAGGGGGCCACCTGTTGGCAGGGGTGTCTGGGATTCAGCCCTGAAGACAAAGGCAGGACACAGGGGTGGCCGTGGGGGCACAGTGCTGTGGGCCCTGCCTTTCTCGCTGTTTGCAGGGGGTAGGCCGGGGAGGCTCCGTGCAGGGTCTGCGTCGGGAGGAGCTTGGCAGCCATGGGGCCGGCCCCGCCTGGAGGCGGCCTGCTGGTCCCATAGAGCTTCTGGGGCTGGGCCTGGGCCTGACTCTGGCCCGGCTGTTGGCCAGACTCTGGCAGCTCCAGCTCCAGTCACCTGCCCTGCCAGGGCTCTCACGGTCCTGGGCCCTGGGGGCTGCGGGGAGCAGGGCAGGGCTGGAGGCTCTGGGCAGGTCTGGGCCGAGGTGGAGGCTTTGCTCCTCTTTGTCCCCCCAAGAGGTCTCCGTGCGACTGAGATCTGGGGTGGCCCGGGCAGGGCGAGTTCTGCCTCCTGGTTTAGCCTGAACTGTCAGCCCCAGGCAGTGATGGGGCTGGGCTGCCATCCCCCAGACCCCGCAGCCGGCGTCCCTACCAGGACTCCTGGGGATCCTGGGAGGCCGAGGCCACGGTCAGACAGGCCGCGGGGTGGGGCGGCCGTCGTGGTCTCCGTGGCCTGATCAGCCTCGTCTGTCCTAAGATGCCGTGGTTCAAAGGCTGGAAAGTGGAGCGCAAGGAAGGGAACGCAAGTGGCGTGTCCCTGCTCGAGGCCCTGGACACCATCCTGCCCCCCACGCGCCCCACGGACAAGCCCCTGCGCCTGCCACTGCAGGACGTGTACAAGATCGGCGGTGAGTCGGGGCGGCAAGCCAGAGCTCGTGCCCTTCCCCCTGCCCCCCCTCCTGAGACCGGGGACCCCACAAGGGGCTCAGAGGCCGCTTCTCTCCCCATACCACACGCCTTCTGCAGACTGCCCACCCCACGCAACCATCCTCCACCCACCCGTCCGCCCATCCAGCACTTGCCAGGGTCTTTCTCCCTCCAGGTGAGTGTCCAGCCCTGTGCCAGCAGCTGGTGGCATAGAGGTGACTCACATGTCCCCCCGAGGTCCCAGTCTCCCAGAGACACCGCCCCACTGCAGGAATGAGAAACCATAAGCAAATATGAGGCCCCCAGAGAGCGGTACTGGGAGGGGACTCCCAGCCAGGGACGTCGCCATGTCTGAGTGCAGGGTGGAGTGCTCAGCCCAGCACAGAGAACAGCCACCGGCCTGTCCCCTTCACCCCCTAACGCCACACCAGCCTCCATCACAGCCCGGGGAGACAGGGTGGAATGTCCCATGCCCCAGGGCAGACAAGACACACGATCATGAGCAGATCCGTGACAGGTGCTGGGGCACAGACGCCCCTGCAGTGATGGGGACCGAGCGCAGGGAGCCCTC